CCCGTGTCCCTCACCTTGACTGAACGACGAAAATTACAAATAACAGGCGGGATCTGCCGAGGTCGTCCAAAGGGCCAATCATTTCGAAAGATCACGAGGGAGCCTCGTGATGTACGTGACTGATCTCGCGTCTCTGTTAGCTGGCCCTTTCTGTTTCTCCACGGCTACGGTGCCTTGAATTCTTCGAAGACGACAGCCAATTGGCCCGGACACCCTTGGAGCCCGACCGGGCGACCAATCGCTTGGCCGCCACCGGAAAACTCGCTCGAAGGAAACGTGAGGTCGCCACTCGTACTGACTCAACGTCGCGTACCACTTCCACGACTGTTCACAGTCGTTGTTTGTGTTTTACCGTAGTCGAGCGAGGTGCCTGTTTCAACTGAGTCTAGTCAGTAGTATCTAACCCCGCCGACGAGCGGAACGCGTGTACGTATAATCGGTGTTCGTTGGATCGATCTTTCGAAGAATAGACGTCGAGCCACCGAAGGATGGGCATATTCCGTGAATTTCCGATCGTGTTTAATCTCTACAAGAAATATAGTTAGGCGTACAGAGGGGCGAATTAGACACCGGTGGAAGAACGAATAGAAGAGTTTATATGGGCATCGATACTGCGCGGTCTTAACTCGCGATCAGTGTTCGTGTAAATACGTCACGGCCCCGAGGTGAGTCGATGTGCCGTGGAACATTCCAGCGGAACGTTCGTCTAATTTGGCTCGATCCCTAGCCCGATAATTCCAGAGCGGTCAATTGGTCTCATGGCCGGTGGTAATCCCGCACTGCTTCCGCTCTAATCAGCTAGGTATAGACGCGCCGCATTGTCAAGGGTCGATCGACGGGACTCTTTTACTCCCCTTGTTTATTTCGTCGTGCCACTCTGTGTGTCGTGAATCGTGTTACGGGTCGCGCAGGAAACATCGAGAAGCTTTACGTTGTCGTGAGAAATTTGAATTATACATTAAACTCTTGACCCTGCATGCCGACTCTTGTCACCAGTTTACCGCAACCGAGTTCGATGTATCGATTGGTCAGCCCGTGTTTTCTAGTGACATCGTTGTATCGTTGAGGTTATGCGTCAGTTTTGAAAACATTCGCGGTCCCCTCGGCTTTCGCTTTCACTGTCTCACTGGCTACCTACGACGCGGTAATTTGCGTTGATCAGGGGCAAGGGGAAGGGGAACGCGACACGGGAGTATATTATGATCAACTCAACTGCTCTGCGAGCATGTCATGAAGCTCGGAGCGTCGTTCTGTTATGCGTACGTGCGTGCCGTTCGCTTCGTCGCGCGACATTACCTAGAAATTTTCACTGACCGACCGAAGGTAAGTCGGCGTTAAAAGTCGAATGGACGACTCGATTGGTCCAGATATTGCTGCGATATTCCGTGAAAAAGCGGCTGAAGTTTTAATCTCGGGTCGCGAGGGGTATCGGATCGTGGCGCTTCTTCTTTTTTTCCTGCCACTTAGCTCCACCAACGCGAAAGTCGAAGGTCTATTCAGTGCTGATCGAAACGTTTCTTCGTGATCCTCGAGTCCCGAGTGCTTAGAAGAGAATAGGTAGATCGTCTCGAGATTAGTCGAAAGAGACTCGCATTCGCGACGAGACTTACGACTCGAGTTGATATTTTCATGGATCGAAATTCCGCTTATTCGTAATACTTGTTCGCAATCTTGACCGAACAGATGGAACAGTGATGAAATAATTGTCAGTTTTCAGACGACAGCAGCAATAAGCAAGTGCGAAGAATAATTTGGACGTAACGTGATTTACGCTTCGTTCTTACCACCGAGGCAAGCAGTATGAGTAAGGTGTCAGGAATGATGGAGACGGAAGACGTTGTTGGGAAACCGACTCTGGTGCGACGAGTGTCTAACATGCTGAAAGGTAAGGGCCCTAGTTTAATTGGCCATTAACGGCAACCCGATTTAGCCGAAAATGACGTAAGCAAGTCGTATCTTGTAGCTTTCGGATGATTACTCGTGACAATAGCGATTAATAGGGTACACGTTCTGCTTTTTGCCCGACAGATGGAAGTTACAGTGGACCACCGATACTGTTCCGGCATGCGTCCATGCAGAAGATCCGTCATTGCTGTCAGAACCTGAATCTTCTGCCCTATCTGTTGTACTCTTTCGACAATTCCAAGTCTCACCCGATCGCCCGCAAGGTTCACATCTGCCTGGGCCAGTTCCTCCAAGTGATCACGGCGAGAATCTTCTTACTGTACAAGAGTTTCCGGCAATCGCTATTATGCGGCATCCGCTCGAGCGAGTGCCAGTTATCGGAACCGTCAAAGAGAGAAGAATTCTGCAAATTGACGCCGAAATTCCGAACCGCCAGGCAACAGAAACGGAAGCGAGCCAGCCCTCTGTTCCTCACACTGGCAGTCTACTTTGCCCCGCTGCTTTTGGCTTTCCAGTTGATCGGATTGTTCAGTCTGATGATCTTTGGAAAGTACACGCCTGGCTTTATCTTCCTCATCTCGGCCCTATTGTTCCTCGGCTGCATCTCGCTCAAGATCCTCTTCCACGAGACTGTCACGCACACTCGCAAGTGCGAGAAGATGAAAGCGGAATGATCATCCTCCGGCTGTCCTTGTTCATCTCAGCCACCCCTCTGCTATCAGACTGTTCATCGGATAGATAATAGACCTGAGAGTATTGAGAGTCTTGGCCTCCTTTGCAGTTCTCACCTTTATCGCATTTGATTACTTAAACGACGAGATACCAGATAGAGCTTACTTATTACTCCTGTATATCGCAAGAGCCAGCTCGTCCATGCTCATCCATGCCCGTGTCTCTCTTTATACATATTTACGATAATCGTTTTTTCACGATCGATGCCTTCGTAGTTACGTTAGGATCTCCGTCAATTGATCCGATTGGTTCGTAAGTTCCATGATATTTTTTTGTACTTTGTCATTATCGGACTGATATACGTAATCGTGCGCGTTATCGTTGTTGTAACGTTAGAGGATAGGAGGCTGTAATGACGTGCTTCAATTTACGGATAGGTTTCAAACTTTCTGCGACATTTATTAACGCCGGCATAATCGTAGTACCCCTTTAATCCTTATTGTCTTCTTGAATGTAATTCTGACAATTACTACATTCTAGCCGCATAACACCGTGTACACATGAAGTTACCTGGATAGCGTATCGTGAATCAGCTTATCCTCTACAGCAGAAGACTGAGAATCGTTTTAACTTGTATATAGAAGAAAACGAAAAATAATACGCGCGAGGAGAAAGTATACATATATGTGAGAAGAAAATGATTTATTCTGTATCATAGAATATATAATTATCGTTCTTTGAAAGGACTTGGTGTGTCCGCTAAACGAGTTAGACTAATCTGTGATTAAGTGGATTCAAGTGTATTTTTCAGACAGCTCTGTGTTGTCCCACTTACCTAAGTACGATAAGGAACATGTAACTTTGATCTTTTTTTAAATATACGTTACTTACATAATGTCGTTGTACTTTCTTTAATACTGTACAGATTGCGCTGTATTTTTATCGTCAATGAAATATAATTAGCAGAGTCAAACAACAATACAAGAAAACACCAATAGGGCAATTACGCTGTTCTGCGCCGTTGCTTTCGTACGATTTTGTTTCCATATTCGCAGCGTATGCTATCACACGGGCGACATAGCTCTGTTCGTGCACGCGATGGAATAGATGTGCGAAAGGCCCTAAGGGACAGTCGTTGAATTAACGATTATCGCACGAGTTTTCATGGTCTATGAATCATCGAACTATATACCTATTGCATAAACAGCTACGTCACCGCCACCGTGATAAGCTTCGTCCGATATGATAACTGCTTGCTGACTATACGTAAACGCCGTTGTATTTTCTTTGGAAGGGTCTAACCTGGTGCTGAAATTACCTTCAATCGTGTATGCCACGTTGTTTGGCCCGCCTGTGCTATAAGTCAACGTCGTGTACGGAATTCCATCGTGCTTGGATTTTTGAGCGATACCTTTAACACGAATCAATCGTTGATTTACGTCGGTTCAATCTCAAACACGTGCAATTAAACAGATGGTACCTAAAATACTCGAGCCTCTGTCGCTGTACCCATTAAAACTCATCGAATGAGTGTGATCGCTGGTCACGATAACGAGAGTGTCTTGCGTGTTAATCATTGTGAGAGTCGCGTTGACGGCGTCTGAGAATCTGACGGTTTCCAATAACGCCTGAGCTGCGTGACCACGATGATGAGCGTAGTCAATGAGTCCTCCCTCGACCTAAAAATTGCTACTTGATGTATCCAGTTACGACGGAATGTCATTTGCTTGTAACCAAGCGAAAATACCACGAGGAGATAGCCATTTTTAGACTTCTGCAAGATCTTCAAGGCTGTCACGGTCATCTCTTCGAGACTCGGCTGCCCTTTGGGACCTTTCTCCCTCTTCCAGTCCATACTGATATGACCATTCGCAAAGATTCCCAATAGGTAGTCGACCTTATCGACGTTCACACGCGACAGTTCTTCGTTATTCTGAACAACGTCGAAGGACAACTTTCTTGAGCGCTTGTCCCGCTTCCATTCCTCGATCAAATCTTTCCCATCCTTTCTTTGACCAGCCCACGTGTCTATAGGATCAAATTCGGTGCCCGTCGCGTTGGACTTCAACATTTGTCTACCTCCTCCCATGATCACCTAAATCAGAAACGTTTCTAATTAACGCGCTTCATTGTACCCTCCGTCTATCGGTCACGAATGTCTCGTGCAATCTGGACTTGAGACGATGAGGTACTTAACAATCTCTCGAATTGATGCAAAACATTCTATTGAACAATCTGGATATATTATAGTTTGCCTTGATATTTTTCCCCGGCATGTCCTCCACTAGCTGCCTGGCGATGTCTTTGCATTGTTCAGCGGTCCCCGGCATTTTCGTTTCGCATTCCCATCGTCTGTCCGCGCTGTGCGCGTACAAAGGTGCTGGAGTGGCATGAGTCACCCTGGTGGTCGTCACGAAACCTGCAAATTGCAGCCTAGAATCTTCAGATATCCTTGGTACACGATCGGTACACAATGATACCTCGAACTTTGCACTTTTCGCAGCTGACCTGTATCCTTGCCTGCAGCCTGTGCCCACGAAACGATGGAGTCCACGTGGTGTCTGGTGTTCAAGCTCGCAGTGCAATTACCCAGCGGCACGTTCGCGTCCACGCCGACCACCTCGTAATTCGTCTTGACTCCACTGAACATAGCAGTCGCCGTCGAAGCTGAGTCTGGTACTTGCTTGTTAGTATTGTACGTCTATTATAACAATGTTAGCATTAGTATCTTTCTCGCGGATGGTTCTAGAAGACGAGGGAATGAGGACCTTAAGGATGCCTATATGGGGGAAATTTTCCCAAGCCAAATGACCGGTCTCGCCGGCTTGATATATCCGACTGGCAGTTATGGTGTCGGGACTCATGCCGTCACCCACGAAGACGATCACGTTCTTCGCTCTGTTCGTGTTCCATTTGTACGACAGAGCCTCCTCCAGCTCCCTGCTAGCCGATTCTCGCCAATGTTTGCTGTCTGGGCAACGAGGAATTACACTGTGATTAAAAATCGCGGAGCAATGTTTACTGTCTGGGCAACGAGGAATTAAACGCTGATTAAGAGTCGCGGAACAATTGAGTCTCAGTGTTTCCAGAGTCGATTCACGTGTAGTCGGCACATGCTTTGTGTATTGATAAGCAAATAGAACAGATACGAGAGTGTCTGTAAGTTCACAGACAGAGCACGTACGTCGAGTCTCGGATAGGATCGATCTAATCATTACCGACTGAAAAATTGTCGTCCGTGTACGGCGATTATTGCAGAGCTCTGACATGATCAGCGAACGGGAGGAAAAAGCGTGGAACGTGAAGAATGTCGGCGGGAAATACCGTTTAGACTGCGTTATCGTCGGAGAAGGACGGCTGATGCGCAGAGTCGCTGACGATCACGGAACAGACACGCAAGCACGAATCGATGAATTTGGTATACCTTCTTTGAGCGTGGCGATAACGATTCCAACGAGGCAAAAGCCAATGTACAACGTGACATGCTTCATGTTCAACGCAACTACGAAATACTGGGATGTGCGCTGCGCGTGGTGGCAGAGGGCAGATGTTGATAGGTGCTCGTGCTCGGTGCGACTAAATGGAAAAATAATGCCGTATGATTACCACGTTTGTACGGTGCTATAACGCACCCTATTGTGGAACAGGCTGTATCAAGTCGATAAAGAAGAATTCTGCCTCGCTTTTTATATTAAGAACATTCGAGTGTCAGTGGATCGTTGGTTAAGGCTGATCGATGCGAGGAGGATCGAGAGGATTCGATGTATTTTGTATTAGATATTTTATCTTTTTATCTCTCCTTTTCGTTCTGTTCTCTTCCCGATGGACTGGCGGAACGAAAGAACCGAACGGGATTAGCTAACATTCACTGTAACGTTTTATTTGATTTTTGTTCATATTCATTCTGTTCGTACAGATCGTAACACATCGCGTAATACAATCTCCGTGGAATTATCTCCTCTTCTCGTGTGTCTGACATTTTGAACGAAATTAGGAAAAATAGAGTGGATAAAATCTACTATCCGAAACGCTTCCTCGCTTTTTCGCTCCTCTTCGTAAAAAAGAAAGGATAAAAATCTACGAATCTAGTTTATCGAACGTTCCTATCTCTGTCCAAGTGTTGGCGCGCTCAAAAGCAATATCCGCTGAAGGATTCGCGGAGAAGCGCAATTCCATTGCGTTATTGGATCACGGTTTTAATCCGCCAATCCCTGTAATTGTATAAGACTGTAAATTTTGATTTTTCAACACGGAATTGGCTTCTCGACGCAAGCAATCCTTCCACTGGAACGAAACGAAACCGTCTAACGGACAAACAAATCACGTTTCCTCTTAATTAACGCTAAACAGAGTCTCGTTAATCTATCTTTGGCCAAGAACAGGTACCTTGAAACGCAAGGAAATCATTACAAACTACGCGAATACGTTCTGAATCGGCACTCGAGGTATCCTCTGCTCGCATGGCCTGCTATTCGCTGACCATGCGAACGCGAATTCGTCATCGAGGCAATTGTTACGCGAGTATTACGCTGGAACGCGACACGATCTCTTGTGCCTGTAGCTGTGGCCAACTATTTGGGCTGCTCGAGGTCGCTGCTGCGTCGCTTTTAGCTCTTTGCTTCGTCCACCCGATGCTATTTCTCCAATTTTTCTCGTCGATTATTGAACGTCGATTGATTTGCAAGCACGGAGGATAAAACTGGTGGAGGGTAAGATGAGCTAATTAAAACGGTGGATCCGACATGAAGCAGAACGAAACACATCTCCGACGATGGGTCTGAATAGTTGGCCACGACTGGTGGGGAAAAACATCGCTATCGTAGAACTCTCGCTGTGACAATTGGCCTAATATAAACTCTCTACAAATCTCTCTTACATGATAAAGTACAATAAAGTTATCCTCTGTACGCATTGAACGCGATACATGCACGTCGCGCTGTATCGATTACAGACGCCGCACGATTCGTCTCTCTCAGCTGTCGCCATCTTCTTTCTTTCTCGTTTTAACTTCATTATTATTGCCAACAATTTTTGTGTCTTTAGATATTTTAATTCTCTCCCTCCCTCTCTCTCTCTCTCTCTCTCTCTCTCTCTCTCTCTCTCTCTTTCTCTCTCTTTCTTTAAACTGGACGATGAACCTTCGCAGCTTAAAATTCATGGTTTATCTCGTTATGCCAAATTTACACAGCACTCATTCTATCTATCGACTATCACTGATCGAGGCCTTCTTTGGCAAATTACTGCGTCGTGTCCCTCGATCCTTTTACTTTCCATTTACATGTCACGTGCACCGTTTACATCGAGTACCATACAGACTCGCAATCACGAACCAAGGACCAGAATCTTACACACATCCGAAGCTCGGATCATAGCGAGATCGCAGGATACCGGTTAGATCTCTCACGAACGGGCTGCAGTGACGATAAAATCATTGCAGCTTGTAACGTTAACTCCTAGTCTATTCTTCCCTCGTTTCTCTCCTCTTTCGAGTTTCAGGCCACGTATACCGGAGAGCCGTCCGCTGAATCTCAGCAAAAATATCTACCTGCAGCGTCCGTTTTATTGGATGCGCGCGAGCGCGCGTTTGAAACGATACATATACACATACGTACACGATAAAATTGACTTTACGATGGCAGAAAACATTCGCACTCTCTCACACACGTATTCTCTTTCGCTACCTTTCTCTGTTTCTGCGATCGCTCCTTACAACCCTCGCTCGCCATTTTCTTCTTCCTCTTGCCATCTCTTGCTCTTCCTTCTACTCTCCTTTCACACTCACACTCATTCACTCTTTCTCTCTCTCTCTCTCTCTCTCTCTCTCTCTCTCTCTCTCTCTCTCTCCTCTGTCCAATTTCGAGAAAGTCTCGCGAACGCAACGAAACGATTCGAGGTGTGAACGCGTGAAGATTCTCTTGACATGCATTCGCGGAACCCTAGAGAAGCACGCGTGCTTCCTTTTCGCGATGGAGTTGGAGTGGCACGCTCGAGTGGCTCGAGGTTCCTCAGAGAATTGTCAGCGTCGACTACGATGTGCTCGTCTCCGTGAAATGCTCGACTCGTTACGGATGAAACCGATGTAACAGGTAATAATTGACAGTCTACGTTACACGCTAATTGGCAGCATCTTCGAGGCAACTTCATCGTCGGCAACCCCCACGACGGCCGGCCGAGACGTTCTACGGTTCACAGCAGACGTTCACCTCGGATGAAGTTCGAGCAAAGACGCCAAGTAAAATGCATTAATCACTACTGATATGTGCGCGATGTTTTCTTATCTTTTCTTTTTTCCTTTTTCTTCCTCGGATAGAATAAAGATCGTCTGACGAGTTTCTTCATCGCATTCCATCGAACGCGTCGCGGTAAATTAAACAAAATAATACACTCCTCGGGATTCGTCTACACACGAGTCTTATCGGAACGAGCTTGTTCGAACAGAGGAAAACTGGAGACTTTCTCGATTGTTTTGCTCGTGAGAAAAACCTCACCTACGTCGAATAATAGAGAGAAAAACTAAAGCAAAGGAAACGAATAGAGATCAGAACGAGGCGATTTTCTCCTCGTCGAACGTGATCGCGTTTTATGGAGAAGATAACGGCCGATTAGACCGATCTACTTGAATCGAATACCTCGAATGATCGCCCCTGGAAACACGCCCTTTGACAATATTCACCTTTCCCTCGCAAGTCCGATCATTAAGAAATAAAAGTTACCGGCAGTGCATAAATTAGGTCAAGTTGGAGGAGGACGAACAACGTTTGAACGCACGTGAGATGCGGAACAGAATCACGCAAGAAGAACGAAGTAGGGTAACTGATGAACGTGTAGTCACTAGCGAGAAAAGGGAACCGAGAAATCTTTGCTCCATCGAGAGATTGTCGTCTACGGTGGTTTACAACTGCGACCCTGCTTTCCTTTTCTCGTGTCTCGCCCACTTGCGTGTCTAGCTTGCACTTTCTCGTTTTCTTTTGATATCGCGTCGTTTGTGTAAATCATTGTCGCGCGCTGTAAAAAATTGCTTTTGATTTTTGGCTGCTTGAGCTGGCTCCGGAGCGATGCTGGCTGTGACGGTCTCTAATAATCGCCGGGTGAGAAAGAAAATCGAAATTCCAAGTAACTCATCTTCCAGCAGGGGCGAAGGTTTCTCTAATAATAATATAGAATATCGATCAAACATTATTAATTCTACCCCAAGCATCGTTTTATCCAGTATCGCTCGTCTGAACCGAAGGGGTTGAAAATGTAGGGGCAGGGGCAGACGGCGAGTACAGTTTCAAAGAGGTTTAATCGCGGATTAGTGTCGTAACCGTGGATCATATAGTCGTGATATTTAACCTACTTTTTTCCTTCTTTTGTTCTTCTTATCCGCGCGCAGGACATTGCGTATAATATTTAATATGCGGTATGCAGTTTCTCTCTCTTTGTTACCGTTCTTCTGTAACCCTTTGACTGTAGCGATCTTCGAAGGAAATACCGAGCAATCGTTCGTGGACACCGCGAGAACGCGATGGCACGCGAATGCCGGACGTTGAACGAGTAATCGCCGTGTTTCCGCCCAGTGAAAGGGTTACGGGTGTAAAGGGGAGTCTTTGAAATAGCGTCTAGGGTAACGTGGCAAAGGGCAATAGTTTTGCAAGTAGTTGATCGATTAATTAAGCTTCTCGAGCCGCGTCTCGAGAGAGAGAAGAGGATTAAACGAATCGATAAAACGCTACGCATCTACGGTAATCACGAAGTCGATAAACGAGGCACGCACTGCACTCGAAATTCTGCTTTCGTCGTCTAACTATCGTATTGTACTATAATTATTTTTTTCCTTTTTCTGTTTTTTTTTTTTTGTTTTTCTTCTTTTAAACTAACCCGTCATAGAACGGATACCCTTTCGCGCGTTCTTCCATTAGTCGAACCTTTGCTTAGGCTTGTCGTCGCGTATATACACGAATTGTTCGTCTACCTCCCCCCGAGTGAAAGACACACTCGTCTCGCGGGTATGCATACACACACACACACACACACACACACACACACGCGTGCGCGGAGAACAGGGTGAAATAATCAATCGGCAGGGATAAAAGCGAAGAAAACGTGTATCGTTTTAGCCGACGAAATCGGTAGTTTCGATCGATGCTCGTCGATCCGAACGAAGTACCGTAGAATTTTTCGCGTTTGATGATCCCCGGCTTCAACGTCTTCGCGTTTGCCGTGCAATCTCGGGGATGAAGAACGGAAACGCGAGGGTTCTTAATGCTTGCAGAAGTTGCTAACGAAGATGAACGATGGTAACTACGAATCGACTGGAGGAACAGGATTATTGATCGCATGATCGAATGACGAGAGGTTGCTAATGAGAAGTGACTGTAACACGTTTTCCCTTAAAATGTGACGAAGGGTAGATCAGCTGCGAATTAAACTACGTTCTCAAAGTATTGTCCGTGAAGCAGAGTCGAAAAATAGGTCTTGGATCGGCGTTCGTTAACCGCTAAAATGACCGATGCTGAGTTACGTTAGATTGATGGGAATGATCGATGATTCTATAAAAAAGTAACGACAAAATGTCACGAGGTTACTGTTCCTACAAAAAGGAAACGTCCAGGATAAAGGGTAAAGATTATACGCGATAATCAAATAATAGCAACGTAGCGCTACGCTTTCTCGAGTCTTCCTATCGATTAGTATTATTAGTCCGCGATAACTCGATATGACAGGTTACTAAGTTTGGCCGCTTCTAGGTTTTCTTAGATATACGTCTCTCTATCGCCGCTATACGTTCTCATATCCCTCAGGATTGGCGTCGGTTCAAGCTGCTTCACGGGGGCACAGCTCTTCGACCTTTTATAAAACGTTAAAATGCCTTATCCTAATTGTTCGTCAAATAAAGCGATAATATAGTCGATAAATAGACCCTTTCTCCCCGGAATGAAACGCTATCGTTAGCAACACCATGGTACTCCGATTCCAAGGGATCCGAGGAACCATGTGTCTCGAGAAGAACTCTAGCTAGACTCTAAGAATTACAAAATGCTCGTGAATCCTTTGATTTCGTTTAATAATAATCGCGTCCGCGAAGCAGCCTGAGCGAGCTCCGAGTACGATGAGATCAAGTGTATTCAAAATTCCTATTTCAGGCTTTTGGAATACCTTATTGATCGCTCTGAACTTCTACGTGTCGTTCCTATTCGACTCGAAGACTACTTTTCTTCTCTCAGGAGGGCTTCTTCGGCCTCCTTTCGCCTCGCTTTTGCCTCCTTCTTCGCCCTCTTCTTCTCTTCCTTGGCCAGCTTCTTGGCCTCCTTCTGTCTAGTCTTCTCGGCCTTCTCTTCCTCCTTCTGGCGAGCTTTCTCCGCCTTTTCCCGCTCCTTCTCCCTCTCCTTCTCCTTCTTCGACTTCTGAATCTCCTGGACCACCGACAACTTCGGCGCCGACGGAGGCCTCTTCGACGAAGACTTCGTCGACGTCGCGGACGTCGAGCTGGTCACGTTACTCGAGTCCCTAGGGCTCGGAGACGTTTCCAATTGGGTCACGATCTTTTGAGCACATCTGGCGAGTAGGAATCAAACGTACTACACAAAGTAAACCAGCTCGATTACACACGCGAAGTCTAATTACCTTATCCTAGTGGATGCCTTCCCCGCGCGTTCATCACCTCTTCCTCCTCGGCGCCCAGCTGAACCGGATCTTGATACTCCTAATGTAACGCACAGAGTTAACGATACCGAACATTTCACCGAGTCTTAAGGACTCTTTCGTATCCAACAGACCTGAATTCTCATCTTCATGGACTGCGTCTGTGAGCGTCTGAGAGTCGCGCCGGAAGGTTGCCTCACCCTCGTAGGTTTGCCAAGATTAGAGCTTCCTGTGCTACTTGCAGAAGACGAACTCGAAGAAGATACGGAAGACACTCCTGCAGGGATGAAACGACGTTACAAACGAGCTGAGAAATGTCTAGATTCGAATACGAACTCAACGAACCAGAAATAGAGGATGAACCACTGGCCATAGAGTACAGGGATGCGGAGGCTGGTACGCTTCCAGGAACCCACCTACCACCGGGTCCTGTCACTCCCACGGATACTCCTGTCCCCATGTTATACTCTGACGCGCTTTGTGGCAGAACCCAAGACTTGCCTGACATCGAGTACTATAAAATACAGATATCGCAGTGAGCTTTACCGTGAAATATCGCGGAAGAGGCATCGAGGAGAGCTGAGACAGTTTCGTCAGCGCGATACCCTTCCCTTCCAGTCCAGGCTCGCTTCGGAGCACCGAGAAATTGCTTTGAAGTTTTATTAAATGTACGGAACATCGGTGAAGCGAGGCCGAACAAACGGAACGAATTAATCACGCATCGTGTGCCGTGTAGGTAGCTGAAGTTTCGCGGAAATTAATTTGCAGGCCCGCGCGAAAAGAGCTGTCGGCGATATTTATTAAAACGGTTTCGAAAAAGGAATGGTCATACGTTGCGCACGACGAGCCATTCGGCCTCGCTGGGAACGCGGAGAGTGCTCTTCGAGTCCGCTCCAATTAACGACAATTTTACACCCCTGCAATCACATCGGCGAACACGAATACCGCATTATTCCGGCTGCACGCGTTCCCGCGCAACTGTGGGAAAAAATTGCACCTCGAAATAATCGTAAGATGCAAGACGTAGAGGAGCGTTCTTCGACCACGAGGGAGCGAAGCGGGCGCAGAGAGGGTGCTAGGGTTGCAAAAACGATGTTGATTATTTGCACTACTTACGTCCCGAGGGATAAGGGTTTGCTTCAGACGTAGGATCTTTGCTCTGCATATGACGCATCTCAAGGGTAAAAGCCTTTGCGAGACGGCCATTTGTATCGTCTTGACGAAGCATCGCCTGAAACAGAGTAGAAACGTGATGAAGACAGGGCTAGGTTCAATGGTGAATTATCCCGGAGGAATGATTTTACCTGCAAACGACTCGATGACCACACGGAGCAGTTTGCATCGTGGCTCTGGCATTCACACAGATCACGCACTGCGGCAAGAAAGAAGAAGTAATTAAAATTTAATCTCACCGTATGGCGGAGCGTATTAATCTGATCCTCCTCGACCCCGTTCGAGATTCATCGACTGATTCACGCGAGGGAATGAAAGGCAAAATCCAACGAAGTCTCCGTGGAATTTCCTGGTTGGTCGACGGAAATTTTCGACGGCGAAACAGGTAACCCTCGATCCGGCCGAGGATCGCGATCTTTCTCGGGAAAGATAGGATTCGGGGATGGGACTTCAACGCTAGATTTACGGAACCCGCGAATTTGACGGAAGGGTTGCTCCAATTATACGATGGTAACAGATTCGGTTCACTTACATTAAGACTGTTAATACAATATATAATTGCTTTTAAATTAAACTAATCGTTAAAAAAAAGGCACGTGATTTCCTTTACCTGTCAATTTGACAGGTGTCCTTAGAAATAGGTATACGGGTAGAGTCCGTGAACCTAGCGTTAATTACGCTGACGTTTCGAAGGCATTGAAACACTAAGAACGTTTTCATCAATTTATTTATTTCGACGTGTTAACCTAAACTATAGACAGAAGTCAGATCATTCGTAATGTATTTCCATGTTGTCTCGTAACTATGGTATCCACTGACCAGTTTAGCCCATGCCACCTGTAAAGAGGTATAAAAATATTCCATCTCTTCGTCAGCGATGCTCGTCAGCTCTCGTGGATCGCGAGAAGCGTATCTGTGTACTTCCACGTACCCATTTGTTTGCCCATGCCTCCCATACCAGCTCCTGCGTTAGCGCCCATACTAACTCCCATACCACCTTCCACTCCACCACCGTTTCCCATACCACCTGGTCTCGGTGGTGGTCCTCCTCCTTGCTGATTCTGAGCAGCCCTTTTGCGTCTGCTGTCACCCGTGGTACTGAGCAAAGGCATGTCGGGTGTAGTGAAACCTTCCGGGGGTGGTCCTGGAGGCATGCATGGAGGTCCATGCGGTGGCATGTAGTCCGAATGATCATCCTGAGGGCTACGTTTTCCTCGAACATTGCTCTCGCTTAGATCGAAGGAACGGGAGGGACCGGATGAGCTATAGTCCGCGGAAACTCCAGCAACCTTCGATCAATTTCGGATATATTTAAGCTTCGTCAGGCTGGGTAGAGAATTACAAAAGTCCACGGATACCGAACAGAGGAGTTGATAGAATTGTAGGAATAAAGCTGGATTATGTGGTGCTTGATAAACGAAGGTTTGCTTACAGACAGCCCGAATAGGGCGACCGTGCTGCCAACGAAGAGAAGATACTTCATGACTGATACTTCACTGATATCTCGACACTCGACACTGTTTTCCTCGCTTTTGACCCGCGGAATAAATACTCACGACGTGATTACGTGAAAAGGGGAGACGGAATGAGATGCATCAGATACTGCACGGTGCACCCGGAACGGATTCGCTGAAAAGGAAACGATGGCCGGTGTCATTATCGACTTCCTTCATTGTCCCTTGTTTTTCTTCCGCTGCGATTTGCGTTTTCTTTGCGCCTTTTGTCACGCCCGCGAACGGAAGTGCCGGGAACACGCTCGTGCCCGACGATGTTGCTCAAAAATATTGCGCTCCAACACAGATTCGCTGGCAATTACCAAGTGTTATCCTCTATTAGATCGTTTATCTGACTCTGTTTCAACAACCGCGATAATTACCTGGCCAGAAAAGCAATTTGTTCAGCGACAAAAACAATGTCACTCGCTAACGTTAAAATTATATAATTGTTCGACTTACGCGGTAGAGTAAATTCATTTTTCTTGGAAACGAACACGTTAATGGATCCGTTCTTGTCGCCGATGCGGCTTGGAAATAACCTCTGGAACATTCGTGAACGTGGAATGTTTGAAGTATAATTAGCGCGCGATGCTTGCGCGATCATCGAGGCGTTATCTTCGCGGACCTCGAGGATTGTAGTCGACATAACCAAATGAAGCGTTGATTAAATTGGAATATTAATAGCTGCTCGAGGGTGGACGAACACGTCAGGAGTCGCAGAGCTACCACTTTGTCAGTTTAGTTAATCGACTTTTGCAACCCATTGAGCGGCCTATTCGCTCGGAAATTGCAACTTTTCTGGACCAGCGGCCATCTCTCGAGCAGGCAGAAAGGCTTCCCTCTATACAGCGTCCATTTGACCGTCGAAAATTCTCTCTGCGACCCCTGTGTAGAGGCTCGTTTGGTGTATTAATTTCTTTCTGGGTCACTGTACCTGCCAGGTTCTTCCTTTTCTGCCCGAATCGTCGCCGTGAAAATAACCTCCACGGTCGAAAATAACCCGAATTAGTTTTTAAGATCGAGGACAGTCCCGGTATAGGTTTTTCAATTCCCCTCGTGGAACTTTTGCTCTCGCGTGAAATTCCTTGCTCGAGGTTCAAAATAATCGCAGCTCGAGAAATTCCGAGGACCGAATTAGGCCCGAATACCTATCTCCGATAGCTTCGGATTAATTCGGATCCTCGTGGAAGCGGCGTAGGTAGTCGGAGCTGTGTGCGGAAAGAATCGAAATCCCATTTTCAATCGGGATTGATTCTATAAAATTTTTCTACGGTCATGAAAAGGGAACGATGCCCTTTATTCCGGGTAGTCTTCTCGCGAGGGGACCGGGAAATCTCATTCCCGCGCCAATCATCGCCCCTCCTTCTGGCGAAATTACGAATTAGGCTTGATTATGCCTTGTCCCTGGCAGTGAGGGAGGAAGTAACGAGGTTACCCCGGAGGAACCTCGAAGAAAAAAGGCGACGTAGAACGCGTCAGGAAATGCAGCTGACCTTATCCGAATGGGACCGACTCGGGGATCCTGCCGCGCAGTGTTCCCGGGGTGTTAATTAAATCGGGCGCAAGCACGGCCTTCCGCGGGAAATTTCTTTCATTCCGCGGCGAGATTAAGTGGAAATTTCCCGGTTTACGGCTTTGCAACCAATCGAAATACTCGATTTTATAGCTAACTCGACAGAGGATCCTTGAAATCCGATTGATTACGAAAGTTCCGATCAAAAGAAGCCGTTTACTCACCTCGTCTTCTTGAGAGGAGGCTAACTCTGGCTCGTTCTTCTCCAACTTGGTTAACAGTTTGTCCTGAAACAGGAATGCGGTTATCAATAGCGATTTTATCGAGAGTAACAGGTTAGCCGCGGACGCAGATCGATTTTTTTCTTCGGAACAGGCGCAACCGAAGGCCTCGCCGTTTTCGTAGAAGGTTGAACAATAGAGATATAGTACTCGAACAATAGTTTCCGGTGCTATTCTTGCACCACGCGTACTAGGAATCGATCGATGTGTTATGTCTCTATCGGTTCCCCTGTTTTTCTCTCTTTCGCCGGCCTTTTTACGCGATTCGGCTGCGATGATTACGAAACTCCGTTGGCGTAACCGGGACGCTTTAACCTGAAACGAAATCCGCGAAATCGGAATTTCCAGGGAAAAAGCTCGTCATCTCGGCTGAAAGGGACCGCGCGGAGTGTCGTTTAAATAGAAAATTGAGGGGCCGTGATTCGAGATGGACCACGGCTGGTGCGTCACAGTGAAAAGTTGCTGTACCAATGTTGCACTGTGGTGGGGATATTTTGCGCATCATCCCCCTAATATCTGGAAAGCACCCTGACCCAGATACACGTACGTGCGGAACAACCGGACGGTCCTCCAGCAGGATCATCCGACATCAAATGAAAACCTCCGCGACATTCGCCATCGACTTTTATGTTCCACGTTTTGCGAGCATTGCCGCAACGAATCGCGATATGCACACGCCGACAATCGTGCCGATGCACCGGAAATTCCGACTCCGGGGTGCGATTTTCGGAGAGAGTGATTTTCCGAAAAAATTTCAACGCGCTTCGTTTTCCATCTGCCAGGCTATTCCCAGAAGTAGCGTAATCACAGTCGATTAAACTTCTGAAATTCCTACAGTCACAGGTATAATGGAATTACCGCGAGGAAATTGTGCAATTTCCATTCGATACAGCGTCGATCGCCAGTGAATTTGCAGTGGATTCCGTCGGAGCCAAGAAGTCCATCAAGCATTCGATTAGTCCGCAATTTATTCCCGGTAATTGTTACAGCACGTGCACCAAATCGATCCATCCACGCTATATTCCCTCGTTCATGCGAAATCTTCGCGAAGGGAGCGATTCGTCCGAGCTACATTCCGATCTCTCGATCCCCGTTAAATCCGGATGGAATCTAACCTCTGCGACTTTTCTTCCATTATTCGATGGGTGCCTGCGGTCCAGTGCCGTTTTACCGCAGAAAATGTGTAAGTTGGGGAAAAAAGAGCATGGCAACGGGCAGCGTCATGCTCGAGATCCTCGATCCGGCTCGGAGCAGATCTCGACTCTCGATTTCTGCCAGTTCGCTTCCGCGCCTATCCTTGACAAGAATCTAGTTCCTCCCGCGGTTCTTTTGCTCGCAGTGCCTCGCTTCACCGATATGCTACCACTGTTCCTGGCTTCCGTGTTGTGTCGCATAATCGTCGTTGAAAGAGGTAATAATCAATCGAGCTTGTTATCCCGCAGGCAGTGTAAAATGCTCGCGAGTGATGCTCGATCGTGCACGCGAATCGGTTTACCGATAAATTCGACGAGTGGCTAATTAGCTCTGCTGTTCGATCGAAGGAAGAAAGTAGCGTAAGAAAACAAGAGTGCCAGAAATACCGGGATCTATTATTTTCCCTGTTGCTCCGAGAGAGGTACTTTTAATGCGCGCGTGTTTTGGAACGAAATTGTGGCACAATGGCGGCCGTACAAATTTTCGGGGATCGTCTGACCCTGCTTTTCATTTAAAAATCCTCGCCGACTTCATTCACACGGATGGGATAGGTTCGACGTCTGTGGAAATTTCGCTGCCTTGAAATTTAATTCCCGGTGGAAATTTTTATACGTCCATCTTTGCCCGCAGAAATTGCGGCTATTTCGCAATTTCGTTGATTTTTATCAGAAGAATTTCGTAACGGAAAATTCGCTAGGAACGAGGGAGAAGTTTCGTTTATCCGAGCATCGATGCAGGTAAACAGGCACGGCTGTACTTTCACTTCGAACTTTTATCTATATCGAGCTACACGGATTTACAGGTACACCGGATTCAATGAGAATCGCATTAGCATAAATTAACCGCGTTAACTAGCGTGTGCCTCGGCTTTCTCAGGTACCCCCGCTGAAAAGCTAGCTATCGTTTCGTGCCAATAAATTCACCCGATTATCGTCATCTCGCGGAACAGCAATTGCGAGGTACGCGCTCGTGTTATCACCGCAATGATCGTAGTGAATAATTTCACGTTGCGGCAAGATCATGGCTATCGAGTCGTCGTGTCGTGTCGGATTAACGATGCTAATCGATATTACGAGAGTCAGGTTCCTCCGAGTCATTGCGTCTCGCTCGACATTTCGCGCTTTGCGGTCTCGCCGCGACAATAGCCATGGTCGATTCGTTCGGTCTCGGACTTTCGACCGCTTTCTCCATCGCGGGAGGACTCGTCGTCGATGTGGAGCATATTTTTTCGCTCCGAGAGGACGGTCACTCTCGCTTTTCGCGAGATACGCGACGAAAGAACGAAACTACGCGAGTTACGCAAGACCGGACCCGGGACAGGCCCCGGGCAGACACGTGATCCTTCGTTCAACGATCCTGAAATCAAGGTAAACCGTTTTATCGCGCGTTTATATCCCCGAGGACTATCCGTTATACCGAAAGCGTACGTTGAAGTTGGAGAAACGTTGATCGTCGGTGGGCTGGTCGGGTAAAAATTTAATCGCCACGAGGCACGACACCGCTCGCGGATCACGCGACAGATCGCCGTAACGAGACAGACAGAAACGGTATCCGTCGTCCTCGGCCGAAATTACGGACAGGGTCTCCGACGGTAAGCGACGCCTGGCAAAATTTAGCAGGCCATAAACGCCGTTGCTGATTTACGTGCCGTTCGCGCATAGAATTCCGGGCCGCAGCGCTCCGTGGTCGTCGCGTTTATGGTTTCCACTCAAGTATTAAACCGCACTACATCTGTCACGGTACCGAGTGTCTGCACGTTTCCTTCCCTTTGCTTGACGAAACACAGCGATAGATCCGCCAGAGGATAAGCAATTTTCTGCCCGTTAATCATCCTAATAGCCGATATCTCTCGCGATTGGTCCTGTAAATCATCGAAGCGAAAGAAGTCCTCTCGAGAGAAGGAGACGCGAAAGAGGACGGTGACGGGAATTGCGCGATCGAATCGGCAACGCACGCGATTCCCGTGTCCGTTTTCAGGTTCAATGACAAAGACCGTGACGATTGGCCGAGGCCATGGCGTCGCCATGTTCAGACGTCGACGAGCATTGCAAGTGTGCTTTCTGCCACCAGGTGAGAATCCGCTACACGTCACGCCGCTGCCGTCCGGGACCTGTTCCTATTGTTGCCCCATCGAGATGGATCGAGATATAGAGTACCTGCTGTTCACCAGGTACGCGTTAAATATCGTGCCGATGATGGAACGAATCTCGACGGAAAAATTGTAATTAGAATGGCGATGAGGAAATTATCGTTGCTGTTTCTCGTCAGGCGGAATCCAACCGATGCAACGACGTTAAATATCTCGGATCCGAACTCGTTACGAAGGAGTAATTTCAATGACAGATACCCGACTGTAATTTTCATCCACGGTTACAGCGAGAGTGCGACCGGAAGGAGTGCCGTGACAATACGAGACGGTATGCTCGCAGTTATTACTTTCGCGTATTATTCGCCAGCGACCCATTTTTAATTCAATCATCCATCTCGGGGGCCATTATTGTCCGCGGATTTCTCGTTTGATTAAGAACCCGCAGCCGGTATCTGCTACCGGGGGATGCGACTCTTTCGTCAAAGGAGGGTTATCGATCGCGTTTAATGACCACTTCGTTATATGCAAACTCGAAGAGTTTAACGTCGTCATTTGTAGAGACGTTTGTTCGACAGACGTGGAATTCGTTGCTCGCATTCGAGGAAATTTGCATGAAATATCCCGATACGTTTTATCGGATTCGCCAACAGGGATACACTCGGTGGACAGAAACTGATGGAACTAGGCTGGGGACATTAGTAGGTACAAGAATCAGCGGGCAAGCCACTGTAAGACGTTTTGACAGAATGATGAATCGGGGATCTCAGCGAAGTTCACCCTTTCGCTGTGGAAACTTCTGCGTGCTCGCGGGATCCATATTTCTGCACCCCCCGGACTGTGACATTCGCTCTGGTCCCTTTTCAACGGTGAACTCCGACGTGCTGAGCGCACAGACAAGTTTCCAAATCGCCGCGAACTTTCCGCCATTCGTTTCCGTAGCGATGAAATTGAAAAGAGTACACTTGAACTTGAACTACATTCGCCAGATGATTATCGCGTTCCACGAATAACAGTCGCCTCGTCCCGGCGAGCATCGTCTTTGCCCGAAATAAAAGTTTAATCGATGCCTTTCAGTTTACCTCAAGCGAGGAGAGTACAATCTAATCCTGGTGAACTGGGCCAAGCTGGCCGGCCTGCCATGGTACGTGACAGCGGTCCGAAACACGAGAATAGTGGGACCTCGGGTCGCTCGTTTGGTGAACTGGCTGGACGCTCAGGGAGCGGTATCTCTGCCCAACTTGCACGTAATTGGTTTCAGCCTGGGGGCTGAGGTGGCTGGTTTCATGGGGAAAGCACTCGCGCCGCGCAAGGTAACTTCCAAACACCTTGCAACTGTCCAAGTAACCGACAGTTCCATTTTACCAGCACCGTTCAATTCCAGGTCGGCAGGATTACAGGTTTGGACGCAGCCTATCCCCTTTACATGAACACGGGTAGCGAGGGTCACTTGACAAAGTCTGACGCCATGTTCGTCGACGTAATCCACACGGACGGGGGAAACTTCGGTTTCCCCAATCCTCTGGGCCACGTGGACTTTTATCCGAACGGTGGTAGGCCTGTGCAGCCCGGCTGCGATCTGGAGAACGTGTTTCAAAGAAGTCTGTCCAGGCTCATCAACCAGTACAGTATGATCCCGAGTTATTTACCAACTGTACGCCAGCTTGCATTCTCTCTCGATGAACCGTGCTTTCTTTCCAGTCTCGTGCGGGCATAATCGAGCGTG